GTGACATAGCCAACCAAAGTCACATGGTTTGGGGTGTTGGCACTGGGCTTCAGATCAGGCCTTTTGGCCCTGACACTTGTGCTCTTGTTGCTGGGCACTGTTTAAGGGCACCCACCACTCCCTGTGACTGGGAAGTACCCAGGAGCAGCCCTCAGCAAAGATGAAATCTCTTTGAAGCCCAACTTTGGCTTAGAAATTCATGTAAATGTTGGGTTCTTCAGAATGTCTCCGCTTTCAATTCCTCACTAGCTTTAACGTTTACCCCCCCGCAACTATTGAGTAGAATGGGCTCTGCAGGGAGATCCACCATATTTTCCCCGTGGCTTTGTATCTCCTCTGCGCAGTGCCACCTGATGGCCCACAGAGCCTGGGCAGAGAAGCGCGGGATGAGACTGTTGTGAACGGAACATGATGCCCTGTAGCTAGGGATGGGCTGCACCCCCAGAGTTCACCATAGGTGGAGGTGGGGGGCAAGTGGAATTTTGACCTTTGGGCCAGAGCCTGGGATTTTTTTCTGAGGCTTTCCCCCCTCCCTGCTAGGACATTCACCATGGCAATGGCACCCAGCAGGCGTTTTATAATGACCCCTCTGTGCTCTACATCTCCCTGCATCGCTATGACAACGGGAACTTCTTTCCAGGCTCGGGGGCTCCTGAGGAGGTACAGGTCCTGGGCTCAAACGTGGGGCCCCTTGGGGTAGCAGCAGAACGGGACCCGGCAGGGAGCCCTGGAGGCCTGTGGTGGGGCTGGTTCCCTGGGGAGTCTGGGCTCCTAGTGGGAGGACCACATAGGCCAACTGCCCCTCCATGCAGAGCAGCGGTGAGTGGAGTAAGGGCTGGAATCAGGGCTGAGGGCGGGGGCAATGTCTGGGATCCCCAGACAGTGAGAATAACCCCTCCCCCACCGCGCTGCCAGGTTGGCGGAGGGCCGGGCGTGGGGTACAATGTGAACGTGGCATGGACGGGAGGTGTGGACCCCCCCATCGGAGACGTGGAGTACCTAACGGCCTTCAGGTGGGGACTGAGAAGGGCCAGGGGTGGGGTGGGAGCCCCCTGGGCCCTGCCATGGGAGGGGCAGAAGGCACTCAAGTTTGGTGCAGGTGGAGGGGGTTGTCTCTGGGGGGAACGGAGTGAGGTGAGCCCTGGCCTAGCCACCCGCCCGGGTCAGCTTGGGCCCTCCTTTTGCAGGACAGTGGTGATGCCCATTGCCCACGAGTTCTCACCTGACGTGGTCCTGGTCTCTGCCGGGTTCGATGCTGTTGAGGGACACCTGTCTCCATTGGGTGGCTACTCTGTCACTGCCAGATGTGAGCTGCTGGGGGATTGAGGAAGGCTGTGGAGCAGTGAGGATGGGGTTGAGTGGGGACACGGAGCAGGAATAGACTGGTATTGCAGAGGCTGGGAGGACAGAAGCTGGGGGGGGGCAGGTCCAAAACTTGGAATCATCTTGGCAGGAGCCTCCCACTCTCCCTCTGCCAACCTTGGACTTGGGGGGCAAGCAGGTGGGTGTGGGGTAGCAGAGAATCTCCTCCCAGAGTCCTAGGGATGGAGCTTGTTGATCCCTTGTGTTTCAGTGGTGCTCCTTATGACATGTAATTGGAATTTTTTTTAGCCTATCTACTCTGTTTTATCTTTAAAGGAGCATTTAGTCCATTGACACTGAATTTTATTATGGATGTGTGTTTAGGCTTCAATCCCACCATTTTATTTTGTGCTCTTTGTTCCATCTCTTGTGTTTTTCTTTTCTCTCTTTCCTTACCTTCTCTTGATTTTTTTTTTCTTTATTTCTTCTTCCTCCCTTCACCCATCCCTAAAGGCTTTGGCCACTTGACCAGGCAGCTGATGACACTGGCAGGGGGCCGGGTGGTGCTGGCCCTGGAGGGAGGCCATGACTTGACCGCCATCTGTGATGCCTCTGAGGCCTGTGTCTCAGCTCTGCTCAGCGTGGAGGTGAGGGGTGCAGGGAGGCACTGGGGTGGGGGCAGGGAGGGGCTAGTAAGGGATGGCCCCTTTCTTGATCAAGCAGCACTGATCAAAAAGGTGGGAGGTTGGGGTGCCCTGGGTGGCTCAGTTGGTTAAGCGACTGCCTTCGGCTCAGGTCATGATCCTGGAGTCCCGGGATCGAGTCCCGCATCGGGCTCCCTGCTCAGCAGGGAGTCTGCTTCTCCCTCTGACCCTCCCCCCTGTCATGTGCTCTCTCTCTCTCATTCTCTTTCAAATAAATAAATAAAATCTTAAAAAAAAAAAAAGTGGGAAGGTTTTCCTGGGTCCTAAAGACAGCTGCCGGACAGGGAGGGCTTTCTGACCCAGGGTTCCTCCAGAAAGCTAGGTTCGCCCCTGTCATGGGAGATGTCTGGGGCTGAATGTGGGGTGGTTAGAGGGCCAGGTACTGCCACCCACTCCCCACCATAAGCCTTCTCTTCTTTCCCCTGCCAGCTGCAGCCCTTGGACGAGGCAGTCTTGCAACAAAAGCCCAACATCAACGCAGTGGCCACGCTAGAGAAAGTCATCGAGATCCAGAGTGCGTGGGCACAGGCAGAGAGGCTCAGACCTCCACATGCCAAGGGGCAGAGGCTTATGGGCCTGCCAGGGCTGGGGATGTAGTATGGGGCTTTCTGTCCTCCCTGACCCCTGCCTGCCCCTTATCCACAGGCAAACACTGGAGCTGCGTCCAGAGGTTCGCCGCTGGTCTAGGCCGTTCCCTGCGGGAGGCCCAGGCAGGTGAGACGGAGGAGGCAGAGACTGTGAGTGCCATGGCCTTGCTGTCGGTGGGGGCTGAGCAGGCCCAGGCTGCTGCAGCCCGGGAGCACAGCCCCAGGTAAGCTGCCTTCCTGATCTCTGCCCATGCCCAAGCCGGTGCCCCTGCCTCAATGTGCCCCCCCCCCCCGCCCCGTGCTTGTCCCCACAGGCCGGCAGAGGAACCCATGGAACAGGAGCCTGCCCTGTGACGCCCTGGCCCCCATCCCTCTGGGCTTCATCATTGTGATTTTGTTTATTTTTTCTATTAAAAACAAAAAGTCACACATTCAACAACGTGTGCCGTGTGGGTCTCTCAGCCTTGCCCCTCTGCTCCACTAAGCTGCCTCAGGCCTTGCCCCCAACTTCCCTCAGCGTGGCCCACGTCTCCACTCTAGAAGTTTGCTCCCCCTGTAAGGTGTGGGGGGTGCCCTTTCCAGCCCCTCCTCCATGTTGTGTCCCATGCCCACTTTCCTGCATTCTGTCCTCTTCCCCCTGGGAGCCTGGGCCAGCTTAAGGTGGGCATGGGGGCCCAGATAGTACCATCTGGTTTTGGAGTCTCCCTGAGCGAGGAAGAACAGTAAGTTTGGTGCCTTGGCTTCAACTGACTTGGGGGGAAATGCCTTAATTTCAGCCTCCTCCTCTCTCCAGCCTCAGGGGAAGATCCAGAAGGTTGCTCTACAGTGTAACATACAGAATAGAGGGGAGGTGGGTGCTCACCTAGCGACTGCCCACCCTTTTCCCTCTTCGTCATCCTGGCCATCTCTGCACAGACCCCTTTTCCTCCTTTCTCCTGGCCTCAGCACTGAGGGGAAGGCTTGTGCCCTAGGAGGTGGGCCTGTGGTCTGTGGGCTGGGCAGTCTTCTTTCACACTCCTCTGGGCCTATTTCCCTTTCCCAGGGGCTGGAGAGGGTCAAAGTGTGTGGGGAGGGATGGGACTGGACCCCAGGGTTCTGAGGGACCAGGAGGAGCGGCAGAACCAGGCCTGCTCTCTGCCTTACTCTGTTGGCTTCCCTGGCCCTCTGCTGGCACAGCCTGGGGTGGGGGAGGTGGTCCCTGCAGGGGGACTCCAGGCTGGTGAGAGCCCCCCTGCTGTTCAGGACCACATTTTCCCCAGCCATCCAGCATGCCATGAGAAGGATCAGTGGCCCACCTCCCTCCTGGGGCCTTTTACTGTGAAGCCTGGCGATGGTAAGAGTAGGCGTTCTAGAAGGGGCAGGACTAGAACCCAGGAACCCAGGATTCTGCCCTCAGCTGTAGCTTCCTTTCCTCATGGGCTTCCTTTGTTGGTCACTAGCCCAAGGGAGCTAAGACCAGGAGGGGCTGGACACTACCCTTTCTCTTTCCCAGGAGCCCAGCCTAGCCCTCTGTTTCTGGGGTTGGGGGCTCATAAGGCTTCTAGGGAATGCTGTCTAGCCTGTAGGAAACCAAAGATGGGAAGCGGCTCCCGGGGGGCTGAGTCTTCCTCCCTTCTCCTCCCAACACCACATATACTTTCTTTCCACCCCATCCTGAGGGCCTCACCAATCTGTTTACATATTTATTATCCTAATGGGGGCCTGAATAGGGTTGAGGGAGCCAGGAGAGGGGCAGGAGTCCCACCATCATTGGTTCATTGTGTGCTGTGTCTTGTGTATTGTTAGTGTGTTCTAGATCCCCCTGGGGGATGCGGATGGGGCTAGGCCCAGTGTAGCAAGCCTCCCCTTGCTGAGCCCCAGCTCCGGGCCCTTAATCCTCCCTCTTCCCATGGCTGGTCTGGTTCTCATGTAAACCCACTCCTTGCTTTGTCTCCCTGGATATGGATTTCAGTTAAGTATTTTGTAATCTGTTACACTGTGTGTCCTTATGTAAATAAACTTGTTTCTGGCAGTGCCTTCTGGGGCTGATGTCTCTCTTCTCTGGGCTTCCAAATGGCGTAGAGGTTCTCATTCCCCATCCTGGCCCAAAAAACTGCTCTTCTTTTCTCCAGTCCCTGGACTAGCCAATTTAGGAAACAAAGGGCTGGGGGGGAGGGAGTGGAGTGGAGTCTCTGTCCTCGTAGGTTAGAGACAAGGTTTCACCGAACACAGCCATAGCATCTCATGGGACCTCTCCTGTGGCTGGGGTGGTGATGCTGGGGAGAGGGCCCAGGTGCAAGGTCTCTGTGGAAACGGGTGGGGGGGTGCAGAACAGGTGGCCTGGCAAGGGTCTCACTTGCACACACACAGGCAAGCTCAGTGGAAATGTGTGCACAGGCAAGAAAAGAATCCAGAAGTGTTCAAGGGCTTTATTGGGGCCGCTCTGAGCCCCTCACAGTGTTCCAGGAGCCCACTGGTCTTGATGTTGCCTTAGCTCCCTGGGGACTCGGGGGGGGGGGGGGGGGGTGGTTGGGGGCGGGGAAGGCAGGCCGACCAGCCTTTCTGGGAAGAGAGAAGGCTGTTCTCTGGGGCTAAGACCAGATGGTGGAGCAGTGGGAGACTGAGGATGAGCAGGGCCTGCTGGGAGCTGGAACGGGATGGGGCTGCCTTCCGGAGTGCGGAGGTCAGGGAGTGTTGGCTTTGTTGGGGGAAGGGGGGCGCAAGTGGCAATAGGAGGCACTTGAAGTCAGGAAGAGCGGACGGGTGGTGTTTCCTGTGCACTGAACGTGTACACCAGCCAGGGCACAAGGGCCAGGACGAGGCATGGCCACAGGGTGTACTTGAGGAAATTGAAGATGTAGAAAAGGCTGATCTGAGGGGGATGGCCCAGCCAGTCCAGGGGGCCCAGCAGCCCCATGGCCAGCACAAGGCAGGCTATCTTCTGGCCATGTCCCAGGTATGCCCGCCGTACCTGGGCATAGCAGGGAGAGTGCAGGGCGATGCCCAGACCCAGGGCGGCCCCTGAGTCGCGGCTCAGGGAGGCAAAGGGCCGGCTATCCACGTGTACCCACTCAGGCCGCTCACACCACTTGGAGGCCAGGCTGATGGACCTATGGGGAGGAGGGGTCTTTGCCAGGAAAGACATTCCCCTCGAAGCAAGAGGGCCAATGGCTCTTAGCTCCTTTGGGGTCTACCCCCATGTTCTGCTGGGACCCCAGGAGAGTCTGTGTTTGTGAGCAGGTAACGTGTCCCTTTTTAGCTACAGCAAACCAGGGACCCATCGAGCTAGGTACAGGCGAAGCAGAACAGGCCCCAGCCTGCCCAAGCTTCAAAGCAGGACTTACCAAGAAAGATCCAGGCCCAGTGTAAAGAGGGTCCAATAGATGAGGCTGGCACCCAGCAAGAGGGCCAGTGAGGTCAATCCGTAGAAGCTTAGCTCCCGCTCCATGGGCACCCGGGGGGTCATCAGCCAGCCCAGGACAGCACCTAGGGAAGTAGGGTAATGGCAGCTTTGATATGAGCCCCGGAGCTGTAGGACAGCTTGGCAGAATAGACTGAGCTATTAGGGGGCCTTGGGGTCTGCTGTTCGATGGGAAGATCCTACAGCGGTCCTCTCACTGCCAGTGGCAACCCCAGGCCCACCCTGTGGCCCCAGTTGCTCACCGGTTATCAGGCCAGCCAACACCTGGTGAGGGAAATGTGCTAAGAGGAAGATCCGGGACAGGCCGACCGCCAGTAGGAAGGTGCAGTAAGCCAGGCTAGGTATCACCCTCACCCAGTGGCTACAAAGAAAAGCAAATGGTTCACGGGGATTCCATACACAGCTTGGCTTCCCTCAGCACCCAAGCACTTCAAGGTTTGACCAAATGCCCCAGGGCCCCCCAGAACTCCAGCTCCCAGGCTACCCTGCTGCTGGGTCTTTTGGATCCAGGGTATCATCATCCCCCCTGCCCTCATTGGTAGGCAATGCCGAGGTGTACCTGTGGGTCCGAGTGGCCAGCCGGGAAGAGACGGCCGTCATGATGGGCCAGAGGGCTGCTCCTGTGATCATGCAGTGTCCAGAAGGGCTGCCTGCCGGGGGATCCAGAAGCTTGAGGTGAGAGGATGAGAGTGGAACTCAGGAGCCCCTGGCCCCGCCTCCGGGGCCCCACACTGGTGCATGGCTCTCTCTGCCCTGCAGCCTATTTCAGCCCTGCCTGAGGCCACTGCTTTCAGGCTCCTGCTTTGCCCTGTGTCTCTTGGATCTACTCTAAACAACGTAGGCAGCTGGCACTCTGGCCTGGGCGCGCTCCTCCCAGAATTCAACTCCGTCTTCCCCGGGCTCTCTTTGTTCTCTGGGTCAGTAACGGAGAGGCTGGGCCTCTGGTTAGGCCACCCCGGCTGAAAAGTACTCTGAAACACTCACCAAACCCTAACCACACCGGGACAGGGAGGTTTGGGGCTTCCCACCTGGACCAGTTTCACAAGAAGAGGGGAACTGGTGAACCTGGGCTGGGGCCTGGCTGTAGTACCCAGACTCATGGACCCACCAAAAGGGCCTGTCTCCAAACAGAAACCTAGAAGAGAACAGATGTGAGATGACATTACACACACATACAGCCAGGGGAACAGGCAGGGAGCAGAAGGGTGCCTCCGGAAGGCCTGCACGGTGGAGTCAGAAAGGGAGTCCAATTCTGTGCATTACCTTGATGCAATGATTTTTTTTTTTTTACGTTGGAAAAGAACGCGCGCTATTTTTTAAGAAGTGATAAGGAGACAAGAGACCGTGTGTGTGTGTGTGTGTGTGCAAGTGCACACTCTGAAATGCTCATCAGTCCCGCTCTTACCCCTCCCACGGCAGGGCCAGCCCTACTCTTCTCATTCCTAGGGAGCCCAGGACCTGCCTTTTCCTTTTCTCCCAGCCCCCCACTCATGCTCCTGCTTCTCCCTCTCTCCCTTCCCCAAATTCCAGCCACAATTACCTACACGTGAACTCTTTAGGCGAGTCTCTGGGGTTTGAAACCGGGAGTGGGAAACGGACAGAGGAAACTGAGAAAGAACAAGGAGGACCAAAAGTTCAAAGTCCCCTGGCCTAGCAGGTGCTTCGCTGGACCCTGGGAAACTGCACACCAAAGAGGCTAGGCTGCTGGGGCCAGAAAGAGAAAAGGTGGGAGAAGAGAAAAGATGCTGCTGGGGAGGGACACAAAAGGGAGCCGCCTCTCCTCACTACCAGGTTCACACACCAGGTGCCCCAGACACTTAGGAAATGAATAGGGGCTTTGTCAAGGGGAGGGGCATTGAGAGGGTCTACCCAAGGGGGTGGCTGTCTTGGAGGGAGCAGTAGAGGGGGAGGCTCACACAGCTCACACAGACTCTGAGCAGAGAGAGAGCATAAAGCAAAGGGCAATTAGGCAAAAAGGAAATGAGACCGTTGCTTTTCCGTTTTCAGGAGGGATGAAACCCTTGCAGAGAAGAGAGGAGAGGAAGGTAACTCCTATTTTGTTTTTCCGCAAGTCATTCCAGCCCATTCAAGTGTCTCCTCTGAACTCTCTTCCCTCCCCCAGGCAGGGTATCAGGCAACGGAGGCTGAGGTGAGGGGAGGGGTAGCTCATGCCCAGCGGGAGGCATAGCTCCCCTCTTCACCCAAGAGAGAACAGGTGGCACAAACAGATAAGCCCTGAGGGCCCCACCCACTTGCCTGGGATTCCCGGCTTCTAAGTCTGTGTGAAGAGCCTACTAGTGAACGGAGAAGAAAAGGAAGAAGAAAGTTCCCTGGAAGGCAGTGTTTTTCAAGCCTTACTAGGCACTCCAATCACCTGAGGTCTTCGTTGAAATGCAGATTCTGATTCAGTAGCTCTGGCCTGGAGCCTGAGCTCTTGCATTTCTAGCACGTTTTCAAGGGCTTCCTATGCTGCTGGTCACCGTCTGGGAAATACACCTTAATTTTCGAGCCTTCTCTGTCTTTAGCAGCTAGTGTGAAGCCTGGCACAAAGCATGCTTCTTAACAACTATGTCAAATAAATGAATGACTAGATGAATGAAAGAGTGAGCTGAGAAGCAGGACTTTTTGCTACTTAAGCCGCCCTAGATGCTTCTTAAAATACAGATTCCCAACCCCCCCCCGAAATTTCTAAGTCAGTACGTCTGAGGTGGGATGGGGTACCCGCATTTTAAAGGCGCCCCTTAGGTGATTTCTCTGATCAGGCCTGTCTGAGAAACACTGGTCTAATGAGTAAGATGGGGACTCTGAGGCCTGAGACCAAGATGCACAATGATGCTCAAAGGAAAAAAGTCAGGGGCCATGGGGTAGGGGTGAGGAGGTCTTAAGGCTATGGGTTCAGTGGGGCGGGGTAGTGGGGGAGGTCCGAGCCCTTAAGGCACCTGCTGAGAGAGATCAGGGCTTGCCCAGGACTCAGGGCCCTTGGGGATGGGGGACCAGGATGCCGAGGGCTTCGCTGTCTCACCACTTGAAGACGAGGTTGAGCCACTCGGTGATGAGGCTGATCCAGAGCACTGCGATGCCCACGCGGCGGGAGGCGTAGTAGGCCGCGGGGAAGTAGAACAGAAAGAGGCTCTTGGGATCGCCCAGAAAGGTGACCCAGAGCCACACACTCTCCAACCAAGGCAGCTGGTTTTGCAGCGCCTCGGCCATCGCGATGCCCGCGCCCAGCGTGGACTCCATGGCGACCCACGGACCGGCCGGGCGGGGATATGCTCTAAGGCGGAAGCCGAGAAGCCGCGGAGACAAGAAAGCTGCTCGCCACTGCGGTCCAAAGCCCACCTTTCTGAGCCCCAGGCCCCGCCCCCTGTCAGCGGCCGGCGCAGGCCCCGCCCCTGCCCCGCCCCTCGGCTGTCCCAGACTCGCGCGAGCCCGGCCTCTAGCCGGTACCGTTTCCTCCAGCGCTCTTCCCGGGCCTTCCTTTCTACTGGGCAGCGCAGGGGACAAATCTTTGCGAAGGCGTTTCCGCAGAGCCCCACGTGGCCGCTGTTGCCGGCACGTGGGCATTGGGCGCAGAGGCGGCTCCCGCTGCTGTTCCGGGTCAAAGGAAGGACTAACTTGCGGGTCGGCGACGCGACCGGGGTTCTTGCTTTGCTGCAGCGAAGATGGATGTGTAATCTCCAACGTGAGGATTCCTTCGAGACCGGACCCCTTTTCTTCTGTACCGCTACCCTCCAAAGATATTCTGAGATTTCTTGGAGAAAGGTTTACGGGCACTCCCTCATCGGAGGAGCCAGGCATCACCGGTCGGCGCTGAAGCGGGACCCTAAATTTGCATACACCGCTGATCAAACCTTGCCTTTCTTCCCTAGCTCAAGAATCTCCCGCCCGAATTCATCCGTTATTGATTTGGAAGCTGACAGATAAGCCTCTTAATTTTGAGGAGTCTTCCCTAAACACTTGCGAATTCTTACACGTAGCAGTCTAAGTCACACTTCCTCCCACTTCTAAGCTTGCTTTATCTCCCTCCTTCCATTTTCTTGCTTTCCAAAACCTCGCTGGGCAGGTAAACCGTGAGGTAGTAGCTGGGTTGGTATGGGAAGAGGAGGGGCACACACCCACGACAAAATTTGGAATAACCCTCTCGAGGAACACACACACAAAATAGAAACCTCAGCTGTTCTAGGCGAAGTCCTGCCTAGAGGCAGAGTTGGGGTGGGAGGATACTGTTGAGTGGCTCCCCAGTTCCTTCCTACTTCAAGCAACTTTGTTCTTGGAGAGTTTTCTGATGGGTGGTTGAAAATGAGAATGTAAATATGGTTCTTCTTGGAAAGAGATTAATTTCACTAATTAAAAAGGTGTGGGGAAGGGAAGCTGGATATAAATGTCATTTCACTCCCTTGCTAAATGTTTTCCAATTGCCCCAAGGAGAAAGCCTACATTTTCTAGGTCTTTCAAAGTTTGCTCAGGCTCTAGCAAGACAACCTTTACCAGCCTACCCCCACAACTCCATTTCATAGTATTTCTGAACTACTTTATGTTCCTTGAAATCACCAAGCTCTCTCTCCTTTTAGAGATTTTGCTTGTCCTTTAGGTCTCAGATTTTTTCTCTTCCTCCAAGAAGCTTTTCCTAACAGTACCTGGCAGTCATATATATGAAAACCTATAATCACAATGCCATAAAAAAAGTGGAGTGGCAGTTACATATGATTTGTTACGAGGGTCAGACTTGAAAGTTATCCAAAAAAACACAACTAAGAGGGAGCAGTATATTTATTCCTATTACAGTGATTGTACTAATATACGCCCAACATTAGGAAGTTGATGTCTCTTGCAGGGCAAGGAAACACTTTTGAACTGTGTTCAGGTTAAGTAGCACCAGCGCTGGCCCTTTGCCTCCCTCTGGACTAGAGAAAGGTCAGCCTATTGTTACTATGTGAGGCTCCAGAATTTCTATGGGGGGAGGGGCAGGTAGGTGGATTAGGGATGGAAATTGGTGATGACAGGGCTTGAAAATGCATCTTGCATGTTAAAACTTTCGTATATCTGATGGACACTAAGGGGGGAGGGCCCAAACTCCTGCCCCAAGGCCACCTTTGTCACTACTTCTGCTTCTCATTCCTGCCCTTTGCCTGGCTTTCTAGAGAGGGCAGGATGGGAGATGGGGAGGCATCTCGAGTTCCAAGGGTGATGGGTGATCATGGAGTAACTACCATTTATTAAAGACCTACTGCATGCCATTCATCTGTACACATCATCTCACTTAACCACCTAACTCCTCTAGAAGGCATTATTTAATACAGCAGAGCAGTAAATAGCACCGTCTTTGGAAACAGGTAGAACGAATTCTTTCTGGTTGTGCGACCCCAGCCAAGTTTAGTCTAAGACTTTAGTTTCTTCATCTGTAAAATGAAGGTGTTGATTCCTACACCAAATGATTGTTGGGTGTTCAGTAAGTAATGATACAGAAGAAATAAAGATGCAGGATCAGGTTTAGTAATTTGCTCAACGTCATAGAACTTAGTAAGTGGCAGACCTGGGATTCCGATCCCAGTTTAGCTAATCCTATAGGCAGTGTTCTTTCCACTACCACTTTGTAACTGGGTATAATAATTTTGGGCAAGTTTCCTTAAGTCCTCTGGTCCTCAGATTCCTCACATATAAAATACAGAGTTCATTCATTAAACTCTTCTGTCAAGGTGTGCTGATATGGAGACTGCAGCTCCCGCCTCCTTCCCCTTCTCATTCCACGTAGGTCATTTATCTTTAATTTCTGAAACGGAGTCTGCAAGCACCTTACCAAGCGGGCCCAGATGCACAAACACTCATTTAGATTCCCCTTTATTTCCTCTTCTTTCCTTTTCCACCTAGGCTCCCGCCCCACCCAGCGCCAGGCCACGCCCTGGCGTGTGACGTCAGCACGCCTCGTGCGTCGCGTCGCGGCGCTCACTGGGGGCCCGGCTTTCGCCCGCTGCTGCCGCCGCCGCCGCCGGCCGCGGCTGCTCTCCCAAGATGGCGGCTCCTCCGGGCGAGTACTTCAGCGTTGGGAGCCAGGTGTCGTGCCGGACGTGCCAGGAGCAGCGGCTGCAGGGCGAGGTGGTAGCCTTCGACTACCAGTCCAAAATGCTGGCTTTAAGTATCCTTCGCTGCGCGGAGCCCGAGGCCGGGCCGGCGTGTATGTGCGGTGGTGGGGGGGTGGGGGACGACGGCGGCGGCTGGGGCCCTCTCCGGGCCTAGGGGCGACCGGCTACCGCGGCGCCCGGAGCGCATGCGCACGGGCCTGAGCTCCCCTCCCCCTCTTCGCGTGTCCCTTGGTCCGCTTAGGGGACCCTGTCTCCCACCCCTTGTGGGAGCTGGGCCCCGAGCGAGGGTCAGTGGGTGGAGGGGGGCTTGACACGCGGCTGCCTTTTCGGGGAAACGCTATGAGAGGGGACACAGTGATCGGGAGAGAGGGTGGTCGTGGGAGGGGGCTGGTGGATTGGAGCCCGGATGGAAGGGGGGCGGGTAGAATCATGTGGGGAGGGGGTGTGCAGAGTAAGGAACTGATAGTAGCGCAAGGGTATGGAGTTTAAGAGGGGGTGTCTTCTGGTGGGATTAGGTCCAAGGAAGGGCGGTGGGGTGGTGACCAAATGGGCCTTGCTTGCTTTGGGGGAGAGTAACTGCAGGACAGAGTTTGTATCTGAAATGGGGATAGGGGCTTGTTTTGCTGGTGAGTGTGTTTGCGTGGTGCTATTGGGGGCGGGGAGTATTGAATTAGCTTTCTCAGTCATTTGAAAATTGCTGTTTTGAGAATGTTTGCATTGGAAACCTGGTCCAGATAGAAGACTACGTTTTTTTCAGGGGCTCGGGTAAGGTTGTGTGGGTTACAGGTGAAAGAGTAAGTTATCTTCTCCTGCTCAGCCCAGCACATGGAGTCCTGACTTTTCCTTAGTAGTTCCCTCCCCTTTTGGAAGTGTCGGTGTTAAACAGAATGGAAAAGAAGGCCTGCTTCTTTGGGGTGGAAATGATTTCTGAATTACTCCAGGAAACTCAGTCTTGGAAACAAAATATGATTGATATAAATAAGCCACCCCTTCCCCTTTCTGAGCCACAGGTGGGTTTATTTTTTTATTTTTTCGAGTAATCCTTTATGGCATCTTTCAAAAGGAAGTTTCCTACTGAGTGCTGCATTTGAGTGTCAAGTATACCACTAGTTGTAGATTTCTAGCTTAGGAAGATGTTCTCTGAAACTACAGCAGGAACCGTTGCCTTTTTTTTGTAAAGTACAAAAACTCAGATCTGGGCCAAATAGACCTTTTACATTAGTGGTTTAATTGGAAGGGTTTTGGCATGAAGAATTACTTTACTTTTAATTGGCATATATTATGCTCTTGATAAATAGTTGGAGGACGGGTGAGTGATAGAAAGAAAGAATGAATGAATGTATAAATATATAAATAAATGGGTTATCTAGCTGGATTCACCTGGAGTGAGCCTCCTTTCCAGTGCCATAGTTTCCTTCTCTGCAGAATGGGAAATCTGAAATCTAAAAAAGTGAAAAGAGCAGTATATAGATGAAAGGAGTATTATACCAAGAACAGAAAGTACTGCCTCTCCTGTGTGGTTTCTTAGGGCCAAGACAAACTATATACGGCATTAACACTGCATTATGCCTCCATACAACCAGTAGAGAGGTGACAGAAACCCTTTCTGAGGCTTCCAATTTTGGGTGGTATTTGGCTTTGAAAAGCTTGAGATCTTTTGGTTCTGGGGTTTTGAGCGGGCGGAAGGTGATAGGCAGAGATTTCCTGAGGAGAGCTGTGATTCTTGTGAGGCTCCCCCCTCTTGATCGTGGCACACCTGTTAGACCAGCCTGTGTGAATTGTGTTTTCCATGCCCCTTTTGGGATGTGTCAGTGCTCTGTTTGCCCCTATTTTCCTTAACTTTATTTTTTCACCAGAATGTCCCTCTTCCAGTGGAAAGCCCAACCATGCAGACATCTTGCTCATAAACTTACAGTATGTTTCAGAAGTGGAAATAATTAATGACCGAACAGAAACCCCTCCTCCCCTAGCTTCACTCAATGTTAGTAAGGTAAGGACTTGAGGGCAGTTCTGGCTCTCCAAAATGGTGGGGGAAAATTGAGACTCATTGACTCTTGGTGATAACATATATTGTCCATTGTTTTTCATTTTTTCATTGACAAAATTGTTTGTTCTGACACCTTTTTGGAAAACTTGTCAGTTTAGGTTTTCTCTTTATTCCTGGATATCTTCAGAAGACTTAAGAAAGCTTTTAATGCCCAAATAGAGAAATAAAGTTGCGAGCTTGCTTTTGTCCTTTGTGAAAGAGGACTATTTTTTTTTTTTTTTAAACTGGAGTCCATGCGTGAACTTCGGTATTGGTGGGGTTGGGTAGGGGTGTTGCCCGTGAATCTCCTGAAATTGTGTGTGTGCACACATGAATAGACGTGGTTTTGGTGAACATATGGAGTATTTTGCAG